TATGACTGTTATTCTTAAACAATCTTATCATCCCTATGAACTAATTCAATCAATAGATTGTTCCCATTAGTGAACCATAGTTATAAAGTGAAATATTAATAGTGCTTCTTCTATTCTATTGAATGACTTTCTTTATTCATGTTTATGTTATTCTTTGATTGACATATTCTATTTGGATGAAAGTATAGTTTGAGGTATATTTCTATTCTTGATTAATGCACTTTATAATGAATCATTCTGTTTTAAATGTTTTAAATGTTAGACACTATCACCATTGGATGCCGGCTTAGTGGTCCAATAGGTTAAGCGTTCACGCGCGAGACTGAAGGCCCTGGGTTCGAATCCCGCGAGCGTGATCGTGGATGTGCACTACTGAGGAGTCCCACAATAGGACGAAACGGTCATTCAGTGCTTCCAGGTTTCCAATGGTGGTCTAACATCAATCGGTTCATGATCTCAATCAAAAACTTAAATGTATATTATGAACTGACTTAAAGTTAAATCATCTTTGAGAAATTGTTATATCTAGAACTTAGATTCTTTGATATACAGTGTATAAATTAACCACTTGAATGACAGAATCCTCCCAAGTCTCAAATGAAGAAGACAGAAGACAAGTGAAAGGAATGCTATTCCAGATATCGTCAATTATGGTATAGGGGATTTTAATATTTATCCGATATGAAAGTTACACATCGAGATTTTAGAATATTCTTCCAAAAGATGATTGGATGAAATAACTTCGGTTCTCTCTGAGCTTCTTAGAACTACTTCGAGTTCACCCATAGGTTGTCCTTACAAAAATTAGGAAACAGTGAACAGTAATTTCGTTTTAATATAGAGCTCCTTAACAATGACAGTAAGGATATAGGTATCGTCAGTTGAGAAACATAATAGTCATGTAAAATACCCATAAAGACATGAAATAAAAACTGATTCAATGAAGATTTATCTTTTTGATAGATTCATCTTTAAAGCTTATCTTGAAGATGATAATAATTTCAATAATGGTGATAAGAAAATTCTGTTAAACATTGTAAGAGTGAGGTAGAATAAGCAAAGGTATTAAAATTTCATTTTCATCATGGTAACTAATAACAGTTTTTATTGTTAAGCTCTTGAACATTCGTTATGACGATAAACAAGGAAAGGAAGGCTCAGCATAATAAGATAAAATGTTGAAATTACGAACTAATTGAAATTTAAAGTGTGAAGCACTGAACTACAAATAAATAGTCGGAAGGTACTATACTCTTTCTAAGACCTAAAAGTTCCACAGGTTGAAATCATGAGTCAATTGAAGCTAGACCACCATGAAAAACCTTGAAGCATTGGACGGCCGTTTCGTCCTAGTACGGGACCCCTCAGCAGTGCGCATCCGCGATCCCGCACCCCGCGAGACTCGAACCCAGGACCTGCTGATTACGCGCGCGAGCAATTAACCACTACACCATTGAGCCGGCAACCGACGGTGTTAATGTCTAACTTCAACCAATCCACGAAGTTGCGCCACCGTACACCATTGTCTTTAGTGAGTTGATAGCTCATAACCGACTTGGTTGAACTCCACTGGTAAAGGCTTCTCACTAGAATTTCAGGAGTATCTCCTGAAGTCAGTCACTAGTGAGCAGACGATTATTATAATAGACCTAAAAGTGTTTGAGTTTGATCCCTTTTACAAGTGTAGTTAAGGACTCGTGAGAAATATCAAATTACAACAAAACAGCTATCGATAGTGTTCAGCTTTTAGTGATTGCCTAATTGAAGTTAATCATTGATGTAAGATATCTTGAAACTAAAATAACAAAGAGTTGTGCAAAATCATGAATAGATTGAAGTTGGACGTTAACACCGATGGATGACGACTCAGTGATCTAGAAGTTAAGCGTTTGCGTGCGAGACCGCAGATCATGAGTTCGAGTCGTATGTGCTGGATTGTGGATTCGCGCTTCTGAGGAGTCCTATACCAGAACGAGATGGCCATCTAGTGATTCTAGGTTCACATTGGTGGTCTAGATTAGATCGACTCATGAGTTATACTATTAAAATTTAAATAAACTAGACAGTAAATTTTGATTCTCAAGCATAAACTCATTCAATTCATAAGCGAAGTTGATTGAATACTCAAAATCAAGTGAAATGATCACTGTTAAAGTGACACTAACAAGGCCAAAATAGTACGTTACTTATGTGAAAGTAAGAACACAAAGACTAGTACAAATGAATATTTATTAGCTCTGAAACAAGACGACAACTACCCTAGTCGGAAATACAGCCATTTATATATTGATTCGTACATCCATTTTGATTATTAATTTGGATAAAATCACATATACGAAACATAATTACTGTTATAACAAATCACATGCTACATGTCATGCTGTGCATAATTCTGGTCAATCTTCAATATTTTTATTTATTTGAACGCATAAATATTGGTACAAAGCGGCACTGAATACATATACGCCACAAATGTCACTTCATTTGTGAGTGAACTGTGATACTGCTCGGGTGCTCAAACCGAAACAGGTGGTTTTCTTAGAGGGCCAAATCCGGAGTCTTCGATCTCAAGATCTGATTCACAAGGCAGTGGAGCAACATCAGGAGATGCAGTTCCATGGTATTCGGTGAACAACAACCGATTTATACGTCATTTGTTCTATCAGGATACTGAAGCTCAACTCTGTTAGATGGATCCTCTATATCCACCGAACCGATTAAAGAGTCGGATAGTCTCTTTTCATCCTCTCATTTTTGTGGAAAAGCAAACAAGTATATCGTATGTTGTATAGAATAATACATCATAATGAGAAAACAGAAACAACTACTACATTGTATAATCGTCACATTGAAGTAAAAATGGAATTAAAACTTGAATGAAAATCATAAAGTGTAAATCAATCTATTTTTAACGTTTCTTCTCCATTATATCAGTTCAACCCTCTGCAAGATGTTTGGTTAACTTTCCGTTGAACAACGTAATTCCACAGATTAGAATGGTGGAGAAGATTTTTAGCTCAGGTAGATGATTTCGACGGAGTTTTGTTCTCGAGGTGTACAGAACAAGCTATGAAACGCATATGGATAAATTCGAACACTTCACTTCTATCTAAAGTTTGTGCTGATGATCATGTCGTTCAGAAGAACGATGAAAGCTCCACGACCAAACTATTCAGCTCAGAGAACGAAATTCCATCAAAAACATTAGAATTCCAGATCTTACCAATTCAAACAAACAATCGAATTAAGTTAAATTACATTCATTCCAATCAAATGATAAATTAATGAAATTTATTGATTAACCAACTCAATCATTGTACTTTGAATTCAATTCAATTATACCCTCTGATCAGTTGAATGCTGATTAAAAAAAGGGGGGTAGCACTGATTAATTCTATCTTTGCTATAAGTGTTTTGTATGAATTAGATCAAACAACTAACCTGACTTATTTAAGATTTCAGAGTAAAACAAATTCACAATACACAAGTTTGATATGATTCTTAAATTTCTTTTTCCTGTGACCCTAAATGCTCTGGTACAGCCGAAAGTGGGGAGATACGGAAGATCTTTGTAGTAGAGTTGGAAAACACTGATGGTGTACATGAGCCTCAGGATCCTAATGGAAAAAATGGCGTATAAACTTATCGTTGGTTACCGGCTACCAAGTAATTGCATCTCCTGACGTTGCTTCACTGCCTTTTGGATTAGATCCTTAGATCGAAGGCTCAGGGTGTGCCTCCCTAAGAAATCCGCCTGTTTCAGTTTGGGCACTCGGACAGTCTCCCATCCCTGGTACATATCTGTTTGGTGCCTCCTTATAACAATGTTTATGTGTTTAAATAAATAAAACGAAATCCTAAGCATTAAAATCATGAACTGATCAATATTAGATCAGAATTAAAAACTCGAAAGCACTGGATGGCCATTTCATCCTCAACAGTGAGTACTCAAGATCCTGCACGCTGGAATCGAGGCCAAGACCTTTGGTTTCGTGTCTGAACGCTTAATTTTTAGACCACTGAACCGTCATCCAACAGTGTTGATGTTTAACTCCAGCCAATTAACAACTAAAAAAAATGCAATAGTAAACTGTAAGACAAAATAACACTTTTTCTTTCTTTCTTTCTTTACAAAACTATGCCACAATCAATGATCAATTTTGTTGTATAAGTTACAATAAACGTCAAAGTGTAATAAAACGGAAGAAATGTGCACATGTAATCTCATTAACTTTACTTGACAGTTAAATGAATCAATAAATTTTTAGTTGCCTTGGTTACAAAATTGAAATATTTTCTCATGAATAAAAAAGAAAATTAATTGAATATGACAATGTTTATGATTATGTGTGATTATGACTATTATAATGTTGAAAAATGATTATAACAAAATGTGTGTATGTGTATGCTTGTGTTGGGCGACGGAGGGGGACAGGGCTATCTATCTAAATGATGATAATATCGTCCCCAATGTTTATTTAATATAGAAACTGTAAATATTCTCCTATCATTGTTGCTTCAGGACTGGTGTGTGTCAACACCTGAACTAAAGATAGGGAATGATGTAGTCGAACGCGTTGACAACTTCACTTATCTTGGAAGTCTGATCAGCCTTGATTGGTTAGTGTTTGACAAATCTCAGCACGGATTCGAAAAGTTCGTTTGGCTTTCGCCGACTGATTATCACGGAATTCAGCCTGTTGATCTGGAAGATTAATGTCTACTGAATCTTTCATCTAATCCCAAAACACTAGTAAAATCTTCTCCTGGTTCTGATAGCATTTTAATGCCTCTATAGTCTACATACTTGCTCAGATGTTCTTTTCTTTGTGGTATCTTTCTAGTCTGTCTGTGGCATATGCTCTTCCTTCCAAATCTTCTTGAATAGAATATGGCGCATATTTGTAGTTATGTCTATGTGTAACTTCAATGCTTCAACTTGTATATTGTCAGGTAGTATCTAATCGAATTAGTTGGATTCATTTTTCCTTTAAAATATCTTGTTCATGAATGATGAATAACTTATCATTTCTTTTATTGTTTCTTTTTTCCATATTACTTATAGCTTTAATGCTAATCAATCGTAAAATCTTCTTTAAAGTATAACTGATAAATAGACAATTACTTTAACATTCAATCACTGATTGCCTTAGTAGTTACATGGTAACATACAACTTTGATCTTTAAAACAAACACTCCCCCCAACAATTACGTTTCTTCACAGTATCTAATATTGATTCAAACATAAATCATCATAGCTGATGCTCCATTACGAGTAAATAGGCTTAAGTAAGTAACTAACTAAGTCAATGTAACATCAAACAAGTTCATAATCATGACTGAAGTTCTTCCTAATTCATCAATAAATGAAAAATCAAAACAATCAATATTCAATCGTATTAAATTGATTCAACGTTATTTTTCTAATTCAACCCTTCAGTCTAAATCTATGGATAAATCATCAAAATCAATATTAACAATTCAACATAAAACATTGAATGATAATCTATTACCTTGTCAACAGATTACATCATCAAAATCTAATGCTCATCATCATCATCATCATCATCATCATCACCATGATAAAAAGCATTGGACAATGAAACAATTTAAAAATTATATCAAAATTAACCATAGCAACAAGCATCAACATAAATCAACGACATTAACTGTTATACCTACAAAAGAAATGATTACACCTTATTCTTCTTATTCATATAATTCATATACAAAACAATATCATACCTTGAAAGAAATTTCATCTAACAAAAATGACATGATCAATGTACAAACTTTCAAATCAATCGATGATATTTCATCATTACAACAATCAATTTCATTAAGTTCATTAAGTTTAGATGATGATGATCATGATGATGATGATGATCAGAATAAATCTTATCAAAAAATAACTAATCTTGATGAAATGAATGATGAAAATATGACTGTATCCAAATTTGTTAATGATATTATAAAACAATCAGATTTAGATAAAAGTTGGTTAACTATTGATTATGATGATGATCATCATCATCATCTTCAACAACAACGAGAACAGCACCGGCAGCAACGAGAACAACAACACCAACGGGAACAACAGCAACGGGAACAACAGCAACGAGGACAACACCAACAAGAACAACAACACCGACAAGAACAACATCAACAACAACAACAACGAGAACAGCAACAACGAGAACGACAACAACAACAACGTCAATTATCAATGTCTGATATCTATCCAATATGTACAAGTCATGATCCACTTAGTGACTCATTGAAATACTTTACATCCTTGTCTTCTAATATGTCAATTATAAAGAAAAAAGAAAAAAATTTTAATATTTTCTTATCAATATTATCGAAATGTAACAATAATAATTAATGATAAAAGTTTATTAATAAAACGTAATTTAAATAGGCTGAAAAAATGTAAAACTTTATCAACTATGGAGATTGATTTGTTGCTATGTGAAAATAGTAAGTAAATTGGATAGATTTTACCATAAATTTGTCTATATGTAGATGAAACTAAGTGTATTTTTTTATTTCTTTTTCGTTGTTTATGTTATGAACTGGAGTTTATCCGTTTGTTTTAGCCCCGAAGTAACCTGGTACGTCTGAGGGTGGAGAGAGTCAGCTATCTCTCTGTCTTTCTCACTCTCTCGAAATGCTCTCAAATGGCCATGTGTATACATCCATTAACAGGGAAGTCATACTCATTGACTTCTTGCCGCATTACAGTTGTTTACGAAAATGAGAGGATGAAAGGTGAATGTCCAGAGCTTTAACCGGGTCGGTGGACATAGAGGGTCCGCCTATGTGAGTTGGAAAACTTTCATTCCAAACCAATTTTACTCATTGGCTACAGAATCCTAAGGAAACAAATGGTGCATGAACATAGTGTTGGCCACCAGCTACCATGGGAATGTATCTCCTGATGTTGCTCCACTGACTTGTGAGTCAGACCTTTAGGTTGAAGGTGCCACGTGTGGCCTCCTAACAAAACCATTTGCTTCGGTTCGGGGACCCGAGCAGTACCATACCTCATACTCATATGAAGTGACTTATGTGGGGTATATGTATTCGGTGCTTCTTTCTAACAATATTTATCTGTTCAAATAGATAAATCAATAAAAGTTTTTTTAAGGAATATGTACATTCTGAGTGGATACTCTTGATAATGAAGTTAATTCATAAGTACTTTTAAGTCAAATATGAAAGTAACTAGCAGATGTAGATCCAGATGTCAACTACCAAGTAAAACAAAAAACGCATTCTAAATTCCATTAATAGTCACTACTATAATCAGTCTTAACCTATATTTGGATAATGGCTAACAAATGAATTTAAGGCGCATGGTTTATGAGTGTTGAAACTTGCAAAGTAATTGTACTTACATCCCACGGTTGATAATCACACTTCGATTCGATTCAATTATCTAGCTTCAAATGCTAATAACTTAGATAGTTACAACCAAATCTGAAAATTATCCTTCACAAACAGTTTCATTGAGTAACTAACTGTAATCACTTAAGATAAACAAAAGTAGAAAGGTCAGGAACACTAGTGAAAGAATACATTATTTGCACATCTTCCTTAAGCTGTCCTTTGCCTACTTCACGATTCTTTCAATCCTGTTGTTATTCCGATTGTTCTTCATTTTGTTTCTTCTTCTCTTTATTTCACTCTTCTATTGGTAAGCATTTCACTTCCAATACCTGCTACATATTACTTGTCTGTCTGTATAAGTAGTTCACACCGTAATACTATCACAAGTTACATACAAATAGTTCTGTTTTTCATTATGAAGGGAATACGAACAAAGATTTGAACTAAATAACATAAATTTGTTCTTTTACGTCTTATGACGAATTTCTATTGAGAAAGATATGAAAACAAACACCTATAACATACGATTAGTGATTGGACAATATAGTATGTAGTGCGATGTATGCTACTGATGTCGACAGATATAAGTAGTATGCATCATCAATCGAAAGTGAAATGCCTGAAGTCAGACGGTTAAGAAGATCAAAGAAATGAGAACATGAACAGATAATGATTAGTGTGGATAAGAAAGAACATTGAACTCTGAAACGATTGATTGACATTGTGCAAACGTAGTATTCACTGTATGGTTCTCAGATTTTTACTAAGTTATTGTATCATTTTGTGTGCAAATACGTTCGACTGTCCTCATTTGTGTTCTGGTTCACCACAGTAGGACCAGTACATAGAAATTCAGGATTCAGTCGCATGTAATGACATCCATGCCCACCACTACGCTTTCTTAAACACTTAGATTTAATTATTCTGCATATGTCGTCAATTCACACAAAATGCACACAACGAATGTATTTTGGTGGAGTTTTGTTCTGTGAGCTGGATGGTTTGGTTGTGTCATGGAGAAAATAAAGTTGTTCTCGAGTGAAAGCCTGCCTTTTGGCGAAATTCTCCCATTTTCGAACAACGAGAAGCGTGTTACGCTCATAGGATTTTGAGACAACAAAACTCCACCAAAATCATCCACCTGAGCTACAAATCTTCTCCACACACCGAATGTGAATACACACACACACACATATGAGTTTGCATGTATTTGTCGTTCTTCGATTTACTAATCGGTGTTATACATAATGATAAACGATAAGTTCGAAAAATGTTCTGTTTCTTTGCCTTTTACTTCTTCTTCTTCTTCTCCTTCTTTGTTTTCAATTACTTCACTAAATTTATTCACATAACCTCAGTTCAATTTAACTATGAGTCAGTTTCTATAGTGAAACTGTTAAAAATAAACGCTTATGTCAACACATTGACTATGTTATTGTGAAAATAGTCGAATGATGGTCAATATCATATATTATGAGTAGTAGTAATGCCACTGCTGTATATTTACAAGTGACTAGTTTCGATTAAATGTAAATTTGCATTCATTCAATCTAATATGTAAATGAAGTGAGAGAGAGAGAGTGTGTGTGTGTGTATTGTTCAATGATTATTTCATTGTTGACTAATTAACAATCAGTAAGTCCAGTGAAGCGATGTCATTTCAATGAATCAATTGGTTGGTTAGTTCATTAATGAATCTCGCGAGGCCATATCGTGCATACGCACTGCTGTGGAGTCCCACACCAGGAAGAAACAGCCGTCCAGTTCTTCTAGATGTTCCATGATGGTCTAACTAGAATTGACTCATGATCTCAACTATTGAAATTATTATAGTATCCACAAAACCCCTTGTGAAATTAATGAATAATTAGTTAACTACTTAAATAAACAACGGAATCAAGTAGAAAGTTACATAATTAATTTGTTATATATATGCGTATATAAGTTACATAGATTTATTCTATTAGGAGTCAAGGTCAATATAGACAATAACAATAACAACATCAAGATGATGTTATAGACACCTTTCAATTGATCTAACAAACTAGTAAATAGATTAACTATTCTTAATAATGATCAGAAGGGGTTTTTGTTGGTGGAGATTGTAGTAATGTAATAGTTAAATTCATGAGTCAATGAAAACTAGACCACCACGGAAAACCTGGATGCACTGGACGGTAGTTTCGTTCTAGTATTGAACTCCTTAGCAGTGAGCATCTGCTTGGCACTCGTCAACGTGTATCTGTAATCTTGAGGAACCTGGTGTTCCCCGGGTGGATTCTATCCCATGTCACTCAGCTTCACAGTCAGAGATGTTAGCACTGAGCTATCCGGGCTGCGACTGACCTCCTGTAGGACTGAGATGCAATCACAATTGATTGATCACTGGGTGGTGATCAATGTCATGTGCGTCAAGTCCTGTCCAACCATCTCAATATATAGTGCACGCAGTGTCGAGTCATCTAGACTAAATAAGGACTTGACACACATGACATTCATTACCACCCAGTGATCAATCAATTGTGATAAGATGATGTAATGCTTGATGAAGTTTGAACCATAGCTAATAAATAGCCTCTTTGCTTCTCAAATTTATAACCGATCAACACTTAAACGGAAAATAGAGGTTATAGAACACGGAAGTTGTAATCCTATGTTAAGTTATATGCGGAAAACCAAGGTATTAGTAGAGTTATAGGGAACCGTAACATTCAAACTAATAATGGTTAAGAAACTATTCACGTTATTCTTTGAAAGAATAGTTATCCTTGTAAGGTTTACGGAGACCTAGGACCTTTTGACAAGTTTGTTTACTCGATATATGAAGACATTTTAACAAGTACTGAATTCCACTATGAAGTATGCATGATAGTCACAATCTATGTTTTAAGACCTTTGGTAATATGGCATACTGATGATAATAAGAAAAGGTTTGCAAAATATTGTATTACCTGAAAACATAACATATCGGTGACAAGGACAACTCATAAAATAAACTATGAAAAGTGGCTTTGATTTGATTACTCGTCGAACTACTCACAATAGGTGAACTTAAATCGTACCTCAGTTGCAATACTGTCTTCAGATACTGTATGCTTCGTTTGCATTTAATAAAAGTACTGAGTAGCAGTAATAGTCCTGGTGAATTCACTTTTTAACATTTTCCTACTACTATACAAACATGCTATTGCGTTTGTTCGGATATACAGTATATTGTCTACTGATCAAACGTATTCATTTCTAACTGGTCACCTCACATGATCAGAACTCATTCATACATACATTAAATCTATAATGTTTGGGAGAAATTTAGTCTTTTGTTAGCGTTAGTTTCTATGGGGTCAACATTTTAGTTCTGAAGTTTTCATTGTTGCTGTAGATAAAAATGTAGGCACTTACTTCAAACGCCAAGTAATCGTTAGGAAGTATTCTATTAATGATGAATCTATCATTTCTGGTAAATTAGTTTCTTATCAGTATAGGGGTTGTGGAGATTATTCAGTTTTTGATTATGATCACAAACCGATCGATCTTAGACCACTGTTGGAAACCTGGAAGAACTGGATGACCGTTTCGTCCTATTGTGGGACTCCTCAGCAGTGCGCATCTACGATCTTGCTCGCGGGTTTCGAACCGTGAGCTTGAAGTCTCACGCGTGAACGCTTAACCTACTGGACCATTGAGCTGGCGTTCAATGGTGTTGAGCGACCATCCATGGTTCATAATCTCAATCAAAAACTTAGTTTCTGACAGATTCTCTCTTTCCTTATTCGTTTATTGTTCTGGTAGATCGACCTATTATGCAATGATTGATCTATCTTTTTCAGACTGTTTCACTAACTAGGCCTATTTCGATATGTGTATTGAACACAGGTTGATTTAAATGTCATATTTTTGGAAGATCCTTTAGAATCTTAAGATTTTTCTCTATGAAGAATTTCGATAGTTTTATTTCCAATCAAATGTTGTCTGTTATTTGTCTCTATGCAAATT